CCTCCACCCCCCCACACCCAGCCCCGCCCCATCTGCCTGGAAAATGGCATGCCCAGCGCCCCACACAGGCCACTGCTTTGCTCTCCATGGAACACAGATGACAGAGCCTCCACAGAAAATCCAAAGGCCCAACTCACCAACAGTGAGCTGAAGGCTTTCATGAACCCTCCCCTGAGAGCAAGTGGCACAATCGCGGCCTTGGGTCCCCATAACCCCGCTGACTATAACTGTATGGCACAGCTTGTTGCCACCTTCGCCCTGAGGCCCAGTTTACACAGCACAAGTCGGGAAAGAAACCTCACCCTCCAATGCCAGTCACCTTGTATACATATTTTCTTCTGTTTTCACAAGACCATGTGAGGCCATTCGTAGATGAGGAAAACTGAGGCTCAGAGAAGCTCAACTCTGGGCAGGGAGCCAAGCCCGACTCTCTGTGGCCCCCAAACCCAGTGGCTCTTCGTTGTATCATTCGCCCTCCCTGGTCTGTCCACCGAGGGGCTGGTCTGGGTCACGTCGTGGGCTCGAGAGAAGCCACCGCTCGGGACCCAGGCCGGAGTCCCCGCTGGGACTACAGCGGGGAGGAGGCCAAGCCCCCGGGCCGGTCGGGGAGGCAGGAGGACTTGCCTGTGCTCCAAACTCAGGGTCATTTTTGTTGCTAATCCTCACCCAAGGGTATTTTTTCCCATTGATTTTTTTTCCCAGGGGAGAGTGTAAACACAGTCCCCCACTACCACAAATCACACTTGGGAAAGTCGCAGGGGTCAGCACATCTGGGTTCCATGGGTAAGCCTCGCCCTGGGAAGCCACCTTCCTGACCATGGCACCTCCAGGTAAGTACCCCATTGATGTTTTAAAGAGCGGAAGGCTGGGAGGAGGAGAGAAAGAGAGAAACATCGATGTGTGAGAGACACATTCATCTTCCTCTTCAGGATATCACACAGCCCCGGGGGGCTAACTGCACTGATATTCTGCCCACCCCTAACTGGCTGGGGCGGGGAGAGGGGTGGGAGGGGAAGGGCTGGAAGAGGCGGCCTCTCCCTAGGCCAGTGATGGCGAACCCTTTGAGCTCGGCGTGTCAGCGTTTTGAAAAACCCTAATTTAACTCTGGTGCCGTGTCACATATAGAAATTTTTTGATATTTGCAACCATAGTAAAACAAAGACTTACATTTTTGATATTTATTTTATATATTTAAATGCCATTTAACAAAGAAAAATCAACCAAAATGAGTTCAGAGGTGACACGCATGTCATAGGCTCACCATCACTGCCCTAGGAGAACTGCTCACTTGTTTGAGACCCAAAAGGCAAGACCACCCTTCAAGAAATTCTGCTTTGGTGGAGGCAGAATGCCAATCTGTGGGCTTTTCTGGGCACCTGAGCCTGCAACCAATGCCAACTGTAAGGCCTGGCTCCCCTAACCCAGCACTCTGGGGGCTCCAATAGGCCCAATGCTTCTGGCCTTATTAACAAGAGGAATCTAGATACGCCCCCACACACCATTCCTCATGGCTGCTGCCCCTCACAGCAGGTGCGTGACAGCTCCCCCAGCCAATCAGGAAGGAGCATACTTTCCAATCCCATCTCAACTCCTGATCTGCCGAACAGGGAGGCCCGGAGGGTGCCAAGGGGAAGGACAGCTCCTGCCCAGGGTCCCTGCTCTGTCCCTGGCCACTGGGAAGACAGATAAGCTGGCCCAGTTCCCAAGTGAGTCCCTGCACTGGGAACGTGCTTCTCAGTGCTGCGCCCTTGTTCTCTGCCTTCCGGACTTGGGGACTCTGGAGTGTGAGGCTAAAGGTGGGGGGACTCCAAGCCACATGCTAAGCAGGATGTTTGTTACAGATACAAACCAAAGAGCATGTTATGGGCTAGAAGGCAGAATCCAACGACTTTCTAATGTAAAGAGGAAATGTCACAGAAATGTCCGGTTTGTTAGCAGCCTGCTTGGGGCCACAGGGGCTTGGGAGGACAAGTGGGGAGCTGGCGGCCTGCGTGATCTTTCCTCTGCCCTCTGAGGACTCAGGGAAAGGGCTTGAGGAGCACAACCTTCTCACACCTCCCTGGATCCACAGTGGTGGGTGGCCTGGCCCGCCACAGTGCACGGTGCTCCCAGCAGCCCCTGGAGCACTTGAGCCCACACCCCGACCCACAGCCTCTGGCTTCACCAAGTGAGACCAGAACTGGTCTTGATTGAGGTTCCAACAAGGTCTGCAGGGGAATCCATGCCCTCTGGGGGCCGTATGAGCTTGAGAGCATAAGATTCCAAGAACAGAAATAAGGACACTGTACATTTCTCCCATGGTTCTTTGTCCCCGGGAAATCCTAATCACAGATGCCAGGCTTCCTGGGAGGGGCAGCGGGGAATAAATGCGTATAAAATTACCAGGGCAGGAAAGCGGCCCAAAAAGATTAAACACTACAGCCTTTCCCTAACTTCCCCACAAATACCATGCACACTGTGCTGGACTGACTGTTCTGGGCACTCCAAATCTGCACCTCCCTATATCCTCCCACTCGGCCACATAACCCCCAAAGGCCCCCCACCTCTCAGACTGGGTCAGCTGTGTGACCAGCTGTGACCAACGGGATGTTAGCAAATGTGAAGCTGAGGCCTGGAAAAGCAATCATGCATCCTAGCTGGCGCTGCTGCCTTCTGCCATCACCATGAGGAGTGAATGCCCAGGCTAGCCTGCTGGTCCCAGAAGGAGGACGAGAGGCAAGAGAAAGAGAGATGAGTCACCTCCTCACCCTTCCCAGGGCTATCCTAGACCAGCCATTCCCCAGACACATCAGGAAGTCCAGCCAAGGTCAGCAGAGCCGCCTGGCCGACCACCCTACATGACTGAGCAGTCAGTGTAGACAGCTGCCTGCCACTGAGGTTTTGAGGTTGTTTGTTACACAGCATTGCTATGGCAATAGATAGCTGATACAACACAGTAGGTACTCAACATCTGTCATTTGGGTAAACAAGTTCCAATTTCATTTTGAACAAATTAATACAATATCAACAGTGCGAACTATGATACCTTCTATACAGGTTCTCTACAAAAATGTATCTTGCGCTGTGAATCGACCGCTCCATTAACCGTACAGGTGACGTCTAAAATAAAACAAAAAAGTGATTCACTAAGGCAGGCAAAGAGGAGGTCAGGAAGGCTTGAAGCATGCCTGTGCTCCCCCCGACTGTGCTCTATGCTGAATACAAGAATCGAGAAGCTCACACAGGCCCAGCTGTGTTCCTCCCTCAGCCTGCACCCTCCCCGGACCCGGAAGCTTGGTGGCCAGAGCAGCAGTGCTGGGGCCAGGGCTCGTCAGCAGCAGCCTCCTGCACAGGCGTGGAGAGCCTCGTGGGAGGGTGGGTTTAGGGCAGTGCTGCTCAGCAAAGCGGTGTCGAGTGCAAACTGTGGTGATAACCATGGACCTGAACAGGGTGCCTTTGCTTACGCAGGGGCATCTGACTGCCTGAGGCAGGGCCCAGAGAGGGGCCCAGGTGACATTGGGGGACTCTGGTATCAGAGCTTCAGGGTCTGGCTTTCTGGAGCCCCACAGGCTGCGAGCCCTGCCAACTGCTCCCCTTTCTCTCAGGCTGTGTGGAGGCCACTGCAGCCTTTGGACACAGGGAAGGACAGTGCCCAGCAGGAAGGAGGACACACTGACTCCGCCCATCTGTGCAGGTTGCTCACACTGCCCACAGATGACCCTTCCCTTTGTCCACAGTGTCCCACAGGGAAGCAGGAAGGGCCCTTACCCTGGACGCCAAGTGGGCAAACACTGCTGTCACTCAGCATGGTACACATGCACCCACAGCACCCAAGGCACCTGAGCCAGCAGGTCAGGGTGAGATTCAAAACCATGACCCAGGAATTTCCTAACCCTCTCTCCCTGTGCATCTATCTACCTGTCCATCGTCTTCCCTTCTATTTTCCCATTCTCTCCTTCCTTATCACTCTCCACTACCCATCTTCTGCTAGCTCCCCACACATCCATCTCTCTTTCTGTTCATCTTATGGGTCTCCTCCATGGGATATCCCGTTATACTCAGGTATGATAGATACCTTTCAGGTTTGCAAGTGACTACCCGCTCAGGAAAAGTCGGGTGAGCACAGGGCAAAGTGCCAATCTCAGATCCTCTAACCTGCATCATTTAGACAGACATTTGGGGGGATAGAAATTCAAATCACTCTGCTCATTATCTACATGGATTTGTAGATTGACAGCTATGGTTGCAAGTGCCCAACTCTTGATCAAACCACCCAAGTGGCTGCATCAGTGTAACTGGCTGTAGGGATCACTTTCTTTTTTTTTAGGGTAGGGGCGGGCGATGGGGGAGCGGGGTGAGGGGATGCCAGAGACGGGCGGGAGCTAGTAGGGTCGGGATGGGAGAAAACCTGGTGTAGGGGTCACTTCTTGGAGAGCCCCCACGGCCGGCCTTTTAGGTTGCACTTGCAGTTCTGAACCACAGGTGCCAATTGGATCTCCCCAGCCAGCCTTTCTCCTAAGAGACTCTGCCCTATTCACATTCCCGCTGATGGAAGAGGCCCAAGGAGCGGTGTGTGCTCCATGACTTTCCCAACACCTGATTGGCCCGGGGCTGGGCCCCTGACCCTAGCTGAGCCAATCAGATTTTTTTCTCTCAAGAATTGTGAAGTTTAGAGAGAGGTTCTCAAACACGCAAACAAACAAGGCGTGCATTAAAACCACCCAGGGAGCTTGATAAAACACAGATTGCTGGGCCCCATCTCCAGAATTTCTCATTTAGCAGGTCCAGGATGGGGCCAGAAAATGTGCCTTTCTAACAAGTCCTGGTCCAGGGCCACACTTTGAGAGGAACTGAGTTAAACGGTGGTGAGCCCAGGCATGGTTGGGTCATGAAGACTCAGGCTCACAGTGGTGTCATAGCAACTCCTTGACTAGCTGAGGCTGCTGGGGCAGGGGGCAGGGCGGGGGGGACGGTGCAGGGCCTCAGAGAGCTGCAGAACAGAGACCTCGGCCCAAGACAGAGAAGGCTGAGCAGCGCTGAAGGCCCAGGAGTGAGGCCTCCTTGCGAGGGCCCCCTTCCTGGCAGTCACAGAGCCCTCATCGGAAGACAGTGTTACGAAGGCTGAGCCCAAGCGTCTAAAGGTACCTGCGGACAAGTGCGCTGGTCCAGCATGGTGAGCTGCACGTATGTCTGCAGCGTGAGGCCCCATCGACAGGCATCACGGTACATCAGACCCTGCAGAAGGGAGAACACAGCAACTTACCTCAGCGTGCTCTATCTATGGGACTGTGGTCATTTGGTCACCGATAGCCATCTCGTAATGCCTACGTGGGCTGAAGTGGGGCCAGACATAAACCCAGAGTGGACAGAGACAGACACTGCAGTACTTGTAAGACAGCCCAGCAATAGCAGTAACGGGAGCCTATGGAAGGTCCGCAGGGAACATCCATTCAGTCACTCAACAATGTTCATTGAGCTCCTGGAGTCTGTTCTCCATCCGGCAGCCAACGTGAGCTTCTTAAACCTAAACCAGGTCTCGTCATCCCCTGCTCAGAACCTTCCAGGGGCTTCCCACTGAATTCTGAATGAAACCCGAAGCCCTTCCCAAGGCCCACAGAGCCCCAGACAACCACTTCCATCTTCTCGCGTCTCCTACCATTCTTCCTCTGGCTCAGGAACTTCCCAGCACACGAGCCTCCCTAGTGTCACCCGGATACCGAGCACATTCCCACCTCGGGGCCTCCGCACCTGCTATGCCCTGTCTGAAGGCACTTCCTCCAGGCATGTGCACTGCTCACTCCCCACTCTGTTTAGGTCTCTGCTCAAATGTCACCTAAGCAGAGAAGCCGTCCCCAGCTCTCCTGTGTGAAACAGAAGCCCCACCCCATCACGCTCTTCTGCCTGGAGATACAAAACACTTCATGCTGCATATGCCACTTACTAATAGTCTTACTCTTCCACGTTTTTTATTTTCTTTCTTGGCGTTAACTAATAAAACTCCATCTCTGGCCGAAATTGGTTTGGCTCAGTGGATAGAGCGTCGGCCTGCAGACTGAAGGGTCCCAGGTTCGATTCCGGTCAAGGGCATGTACCTGGGTTGCGGGCGCATCCCCAGTGGGGGGTGTGCAGGAGGCAGCTGATCGATGTTTCTCTCTCATCGATGTTTCTAACTCTCTATCTCTCTCCCTTTCTCTCTGTAAAAAATCAATAAAATATATTTTTTAAAAAAAGCACTCCATCTCTGTATTCAGAACTGCAGGCTTCTATGAACCAGGAGGTCACCGTGTGGTTCCCTGGTCAGGACACATGGCTGGGTTGCAAGCGTGATCCCCATTAGGGGGCGTGCAGGAGGCGGCCAATCAATCATTCTCTCTCATGACTGATCTCTCTCTCTCTCCCTCTCTTCCTCTCTCAAATCAATAAAAATCTATTTTTAAACAAAAAAGAAAGAACACTACAGGCTCTTAACTTCGGATAAAAGAAAACCGCAGAAAGGTTGGGAGAAGCACTCCCTCTACCTTCTACATTAGAAAGCCAACTCAGATAGTGATGGACTGAGGCTTTTCACTAAACTACCAATCTTGGCCTTCCCCCCAGAGTGGAAACTTATGCAAAAATATCTAATTCTGTTATATTTGTTATTACAAAACTGTCATTTGAAATGCTCTTTGAACCAAGGATGCTCCCAGCTCTGAGCCTGGGATTATGCCCTAGGAACTATCACCATAATCCCTCAAGCCTGCAACTCCAGCTGTCTCAGTAACCCAGCCCTGGACCCTCCCGGTTTCCTAGAGAATGAGAATGTTTCTGAGGCTTTTCTGTGAGGCCCAGAGAGAAAGACTGGCATGCTGTCTCCTCCCACATGCACAGAGGTAAAAAGTCCATTCCTGTCTCTGGGATTCTTCATTCAAAGACTCTGAGAGTTCCTGCCTTATTTAAATAATATCCTTTTACCTGCTTTAGATTTCTTCATAGCTCCAATCACTACCTGCCATATCATACATTTAACTGTCTTCCGCCTCCCAAACCAGAATATTAGGGCCAGGAGAGCAGGCGCAGGCAACAACTAGTGGTTGAATGAATAACAGAAGAAGCACCTACGAAGTGCTCAGCAGTGTGCTATGTTCTAGCAAACAACAGGGAGCCAAATTAGACACAGTCCCTGCCCCAGTGGAACTCAAGAGTCTAAGAACCACACCAGGAGAGCTCACAGTGTTGCTAGAAATGAGGGGACCCTAGAGGCTCCTTCTAGTCCCAGGTTCAAACCTAGGTCTGTCATTTACCAGTGTGACACCTTGGCGACGTATTTCAGTTACAGCATCCTTGCCTGAACAAAGAAGGGGGTCATCCCGACATCAGGGGGCAGGCTCCCAGACCTCTTACAGGACAAGACTCCAGCCTTCACGTGCACACAGCCAGAGCAGAGCCTTCAGAAGGCGGAAGGAGAACCAGGGGTACAAGCACACTAGAGCCCCTGCTCGCTAGGTCCACCCTTGGGAAAGCCGATAGGAAGCCGCAGGGTGAGCCTGAGGCAGCCCCTGGGCATTGCCAAGCGCCACTCCAAATCAGAGGTTTACCAAGGAAACTGGTTACTTAGAGAGGACGGGTCCTGGGGAGGCCAGGCCTGGGGAGACCTGGTTTCTAATGGGTCTCTTCCAGGAGAGGGTGGGAGGAGAAGGAGCAGGAGGCAGACACCCCGGTAACCAAGGCTGACGCCTGAGATCGTCTGGGATCACTGACAGGAGGTCCTGGGCTCTGCACCTGCCCAGCCCAGTCTCCAAGATCTCTGACCTCAGAACACCTACATGCGGCCGCGGCCACTTTCCATTTATCTCCTCCTTCTCCGCCCCCAGCCCAGCTAAGAGCGTGGGGAATGCCTGGGCAGGGGGCGGGCTCAGGCACCACCAGTCACTCAAGAGGAAGCTGGTGGTTCACGTGGAAACAGCACACTCACCAGAGGATTGTGGCCACGGACATTTCTCCACTTGTGCACAGGCTCCGGAATCACCTGCAGGGAAAGGAAACATCAAAGGGCTGCTGCTCCTCTGAGCTGAGCTCTGTGAAATGAAAGCGGGTAAGTGTTGGGGAAGGGAGGGGAGGGAGAAAATGAAGGTGTGGGCATCCAGTTTGAGCTAAAATCGTTGAGCAACCTGCTGTGTGAGGCCATAACTCCATCTAAACACGGCTTCCTCACGTGACTTCCAGCAATGGCTTGAGGCAACACTATCCATCCCTGCACACAAGGGTAGGCACATGGCACCTCTGGCTGCCTTGGAGCTCCTGAAGGGCCAGGGAGGTTCTCTCAATCCCTCCTCTGTGTGCTCCATCCCAGCCCTCACTGCCGGCGTGTCCGGCTGGCAGAGGCGAGAGAAGCCCTGAGAGAAGCTACTTCAGGCGCTCCGGCTGCAAATCAAAGCGCCGCTTCCAGCTTGGGAACTCCCCCGGGACCTTGGCCACTTGCTGTGCCTCCATTTCCTCCCTCTGATCTCTGCACTGAGCACACTGACAGCTGAGAATCTTCATAGGTCAACGCCCAATCACTGAGCCACACAGGCTGGGCAAACCCTGTTTTAATAGAAGTAAAAACAGAAAAGGAAAGAAGGAAAGCAAATGACCCTAAAGTTTAAAAATTATAGGGTCTGCGGGGGAAAAAAAAAAGCCATACATAGAAGATCACACCACTAAAATCTACAAGGAAAAGGGGTCGTGTCAGGTCAGGGTCTTGGTGTAGAGATTATTCTCAGTCACTGGGCTGTAAATAAACTAGAAATTGTGTTAGCTGGCTATGCATGGTGGTGCTCCCTGCATGCTCGGACGTACACTGTAACATCCCAGCCACGCTCAATAGTCTGCCTTCTTTCACATGTAAGCTCTTCCTAACCAGACTGTGCGGAGCTCTGCCCCTGCACTGTCCAATACCGTGGCCATGAGCCAATGCAGCTATTAAAAAGTTGGAATCGGTCCAGCCGGTGTGGCTCAGCAGTTGAGCATCAACCCAGGAACCAAGAGGTCACTGGTTCGATTCCTGGTCAGAGCACACGCCCAGGTTGAGGCTCAGTCCCCAGTAGGGGGCGTGCAGGAGGCAGCCGATCGATGATGTTCCTCTATTGATGTTTCTATCCCTCCCCCTTCCTCTCTCTAAAAATCAACAAAAACATATTTAAAAAAGAATAAGTTGAAATGGGACTAGTTCAAATTGAGATATGCTGGAAATATAAAATACATTCCAGACTTCAAAGACTTAGTATGAAAGACAGAATGCAAAATAGCTCATTGATGATTTTTATACTGATTACCTGTTGGAGTGATAACATCTGGAATGTATAATGTTAAATAAAATATTCCTTTTGGGTTTTTTTTTTAGCAAGGCTATTAGGAAGTTTACATTCTACATGTGGCTTGCGTTTGTGGCTCGCATTGTATTTCTACTGGGCAGGGTTGGTCCACACCCCGTGAATTACTCCGTCATGCTCAGGAACCTGCTGGGGAGGCCGTACCTCGATGTCTGTTGTGTTGGCGAAGAACTCCAGGCATGTCGTCTTCCCGCTGGCTATATTGCCCTCAACACAGATCTGGCAAAAGACAAATGCACATTAGAACCAGGAATCAAGCCCCTGGGGGACTATCGGGAAGAATTTCTACAGAGGGGCCCAGGTAAACAGCCTAATTGGTTTAGCGCAAGACTTCCATGTGCACACAGAACTCCCTCCGCAGGAAACCCCCGAGGCCCCGCTGTTAGTAATAAAGAAACTGAGCCTCCCCTTCTGGGGCAGGCTCCGGGCCCACCGCTGGGGGCCACCAGACCACTGCCCTCCAGGACAGACCCGCCCTTATGTCAACCCCTAGACCATACACAACTTGCCCCCTGCTACCCTAGCTCAGCCCTTCCCCAGCTCAACCCCTCAGACTATTAGATTTTAGGCCTGAATGTGCTGCCTTCTTAACCTCTGCTGGCTTTGGGATTAGAATATGTAGATGGTATCTAGAGCCTAACTGGCTGCTTCGTGCAAGAACACGTGCTCAGTCAGGGACTGGCAGGCAGGCACCGCTGGGGACTCTGGTTCCCGCAGGTCACAAGAGGAAACGGGAAGTCCCACCTACGAAAGAAGACACACTGGCCCTTGAGAACATCCCGGGGGCACAGCCAGTGAAGGACCCATCCTGCTGCACAATGACCTTTACACTCGGCTGGAGGCACCCAGAGAAATGTGGGCCATGTCAGTGACTTGCCCAAGGTCCCAGGCCTAGCAGGGGAAAGAGCTGGAACTCACACCCAGGCCTGGCGGACCCCTTCTCATGACCCCCGTGGGGTCTCAGCCACACCCGAAATAAAACGTGGGGCATAACTTGCCCCACCTCCTGTAAACGCTGTCAGTCAGCAAAGGTTTCCCCCTGCTGTGATCCCAAAAAGTACCCTCAGATGCCAGGCCACCCTCCAATCCCTGCTCCCTACCAGCTCCCTCCTTTGGAACGGGAAACCATAAAATGAACCCAAAGGAGTGCACAAAAGAGCAATTCCATTAGGGCACTAGTGGACTTGATTTTTCATTGTGCTTTTTCTTTTGTTTGTTAATCGAGGATATTTTTTCCATGGATTTTTAGAGAGAGTGGAAGGGAGAGAAAAACATCAATGTGAGAGAAACACATCATTTGGCTGCCTCCTGCCTGCACCCCAACCGGGGCCATGGATTGAACCTGCAACCCAGGGATGTGCCATTGACTGGGAATCCAATCCACAGCCCTCTGCTGCACAGGCTGATGCTCTGACCACTGAGCACACCAGCCAGAGCTTGTTCTTTAAAGGAAACTTTTCTTCTTCCTGAATATTTAAAAAGAGCTCAACTAAACATCACTCTATACAGACATTGTTTCTTTCTACAAAGAACATGTTGTTCAGATGAAACCTTCTTCTAAAAATACTTGTTCTAACTCCCATCATGAAATCCTCAAAGTTGGTAAATCTAAGGCCTTCGATTAATGACAGAGCAAGCAAGGCATGAAGAATCCCACAAAGTTCCCCTGTCACCGAGAAAGAAAGAGGAAGTCTTTCATTTTTCTTAAAAGTAGTATCTGAAAGTACTACAGGAGGAGAGCATGCCCATTGAAGAAAATAGAAAAACTTCATAAAGGAGAAAATGCCGTCTACACTCCACTAAGGGATGAACATCACAGCATTTCAGCATGCTTCAGACCCGGATTGCTTTCTACACACATTTCTCATCTTTGAGTCTTTCAACTGCTCACTGATGGCCTAGTATGTGCCAAGCACTGTGGACTCAGGAGCCAGTCCCAGCACCCACACGGCGCACAGTGAGTGTGAAGATGGAAGTTAGCAGGAGTTTAAAAGAGATTACAAGAAAAGACGTTCGCCATGCTGGGGGAGGATGTGGCCAGCCTGGCCCACCTCTCTGTCACGTGCCAAAGTTTACATGTTCCTTGTCAAAGTTCAACTTCCTGTGGTTACAATTAACACTGTGATGCACCACCTAGCCTAATTTTTCAATAACAACATTTAATCTTTCCTGAATAGAAGCTAAGCATTCTTGCAGAGTGAAATACTGAGACCCAAAAGGAGAAAATAAAAATCACTCATGATTCCAGAGATAACGGCCATTCCGATGTTTTATCAGAACCAAACAGGCTCAGGCTAGGGCTTCGAAGCCCCCGCCGGAACCAAAAGACCCTGAGAAATAGGCAGTAAAAAGGAAACTTGCCCAAATGTCCAACAACTGGTAGGTAAAGTGTGGTACATCCACACAATCGAATACTATTTGGCAATAAAGAGGAATGAAGGACTGATACATGCTACAACGTGGATGTGCCTCACAACAAGCTAAGTGAAAGGAGCTGGACACAAAAGACTGAATGCTGTATGATTCCCTTCTATCAGAAACTAGTGAACCGGTGCACGGATTCATGCACACTGAAAGGAAATTAATCTGAAGGTGGCCAGTAGGCGGGACTGGGCAGGACAGGCCGGACACGCCCTGGAGCCAACCTCTCTCGATCCCTCCCCAGCGTCTGCGGAGTGAGCAGGGTCTCTCCGGCAGCAGGTGGGGTCCCTCAGCCTGGCCTGTAGGGATCGGGCCCAAAACTGGCTTTCCGACATTGCCCACCCCTCCCTGAGGGGTCCCCAAGTGAGAGAGGGCACTCTGCAAAGTTACTACCATACAGGGCGTGGAATGCAAACAGGGTGTGCAGTAAACCAGTTTCGGGCCCACAGTGCCCCAGCAACAACATAACCCACGGCCAAAGGTGGAATCACAGGCCCCCACAAGGAATCAGGCTCCCTCCTCTCTGGTTTCGGGGTGCATCGCCTGAGAAATGCTGCTGCCAAGGCACTGCGGCTCAGCAGCTCCTGCATTGAGCGTCTGCCCCCTGGTGGTCAGTGCGCATCATAGCGACCAGTCGGATGGTCGGACACTCAGCATATTGGCCTTTTATATAGAGAGATGTTCAGAAAAGCAAATCCACAGAGAGGAAGTAGATTAGTGGTTGCCTGGGGCTGGGGAAGGGACTACGAATGGGCAGGAGGTTTCTTTTCCTAGGGATAGAAATATTCTAAAATTAGATTGTGGTGATGTTGCACAACTCTGTAAATTTACTAAAATTCACTGAATTGTACACTTAAAATGGGTGAATTTGGGGGTATGTAAATTAAACTCACTAAAGCTGTGTTGCTGTGGGGTGTGTGTGTGTGTGTGTGTGTGTGTGTGTGTGTGTGTGTGTTTAAGGAACCCTGTTTAATTTAACAGTCAAATAACTCTGGGAAGACTCCTTACCCCGCAAATTCTCTCTCCCTCTCATTCAAACCCACTGTTAACACTCCCCAATTTTCCCTTAACCAGACTGACACTTTCTGCAAATAGTTTGCAATACTTCTTTCTGGGGTTTTTTTCCGATGGAAAGTGTGTATGCTATTTCATTTGATCCCTACTTCATAGATTTTTATCCCTGGTGTTTTTCATTTCATCTCTTACATAATGAGTACCCTTCCAGGTCATTAAATATTTTTCAAAAAACACGATTCTGAATGGGTGACTAATATTTCATCGTGTAAGCTGGGGAGGGAGTCTGAGGCCCAGGGATGGAGACTGACCTCCCTCCTATCCCTGGAGATCTCTGGTATTTCTGTTTTTTTACTATCCCTTCATTCCCCTCCTCAAAATGAATTATGTACATGGAGAGTGCACTATAAAAGAGGGACTTACCACGGTCTTTTTCTCTTTCTCATTTTCTTTATCTACAAAAGAAAGGAAAGGTTTTCAATGATTCTCTTCTTCATCCTAATTAGCTAAACCACCACAAGAACAGAGCTGTTTACACTTGCTCCCTGACCTAAAAATGTTTTCCAGCGACATCCGGGGCCTCCATGGCTAGACAGAGGCAGACCCACTGCACCCGTCCACCTGTGTGCCACTGCCACCGGGGCCTGTTGGCACGCCCGGGCCCCACCCGAGCCGGCTTTTTCACTTGGTTATAACATCTGACCTTCCATTTTGCACACATTTCATCTCTCTGATCACCACAAGCTGGTGCCCAGTAAATGAGAACACAGAGTGGGCCCCACTCGCACGCACAGGTAAGAATTGGGCGGGGGGGGGGGCGGAATGTGGGGATAAGGACATATATGAAATAACGTAATTAAAAAATTTAAAAAAAATAAAAATAAAGTGCCGAGGACAGCTTAAAAAAAAAAAGCGTTGGCCGTGTGGCCACAAGTTTCCTGCCCAGGACTCAGGTTTCTCTTCTAGGCCCAGGGCTGGCCTCGCCGTCCACCCCACCCCCTCACAGGTGGTTCTGCGGTGCCACCCAACAGCCCGAGCCCAGGGACGAGGGACCGGCTGCTAGCAGCGCCCCCTGCTTTCGAGGGGGAGGGTCTCCACTAGTGGGGGGCTGTCTGTCCGCAGCTCCCAGCCTCCGCCTCGCCCGCGGAATCGGACCAGGAGGTGCA